TATATATATATATATATATATATATATATAGACACACAATAAATTTATTTATGTTTGTCTAAATTGTGGGATTAATCAAGTTTTTACGCGCCATTTAAGAATTCTAAAAACTATGAGTGAAAGCTCCGACATTTCCCTTCGCCCAACACCAGGGCTCTTCAGGTCGGTTGAGATAAAATATACAATATCATCATTTTTCATGGACAACAACAGTTTTGGTGTGAATCAGGTTAAGCAGGTGAATTTCAATTATTTGTTTCAGTTCTTTACAAATCAGATTTTTAAGGTAGGAATTAATAACACATTATTTATTTTTTAGTTAATTTTAGCACTAATTATAATTATTTTATTTATTTATTAGGTATATTTTGCCAGGAAGTAAGATCAAACGTATATATAATTTGTTTTTCTTATCGACCCTCAACTGATGAGGAAGTACATAGACTTCCATTGGTTAGAAACGAAAAACACTTCATCACTTTTGGCCACTGGCATCAGAATCGATTTTATTTACGAGCTCACTCACACAAACATTTGTGCTCGATGTGCTGACGCATAATCTGTTCATCTGTAGCGCGTGTTGTATCAGCTAAGAGTGCCAAGATGACCATATAACGCAGGAGCTGAGTGAAAAGATGCAGAGAGAAACACGCAAACTGAGGGGTGAAAGGAAAACAAATAGTCAAGGAGCTTAAGATGAAAGCATCATATAGAGAGAGCTTTGATAGAAATAATCCAAACATGTGATAGCCTCGAAATCTAACGCAAATTGTATAAAGACTTACAACTGAGCTGAGTAAAATATATCATATATATACACACACACACATATATATTTACACATAAAGATAACTAAACACATGCACATATGCATCTTCTATGGTAAAATTAAATTATATATATCTAATGAAAAATATGAGATATTCATTGAAAAATAGAGAAAAACGTAAGTAAATATTTTTTAACAAAATTTTTAAATACGAAAATCATTTCTGAACAGTAGCTTTATGTACACACGTATTTAGCAATGCTTAAACATTTGGCTGTTTGGTGAGATTAATAATTAACTCAAGGTTTCTTTATACACCTACACCTATGTTCATAAATTTCTAGAATAAATTATTTAAAATATATAATATTAAAAGTAACGTTATTTCATTGTGCTGAACCAACTGGTAACTAGGGCTTGCTCGTCAAATAAACACCCGAATATCTGAACAAAATCATTAATCCCACAGTAAGTTCTAGTGAAGCAAGTTTTTAACTATTCAAACTATTTGGCTACAACGTTATGACATAGAAATATCTTCACAAATGAGAATGCTAAATATTAAATTTGTTAATCTTTCTGCACGCTTTAATTTTGTTATGATATTCACCATGAAAGCAGGTCAAATATCCCTCAGTCAGACTCCTTATATTAGCATAACATTTCCCTATAATAATGTCAGTCCTCCTATAAGTTTCTGTTTCCATTTATGTACACATGAAATATCAATGTTTGTAATAATGTAGTTCTGTTGAGGTTGTTATTGAACCGCATTATATCCTCTTGGTAAATATAACCGGTCCTGCTTATTGTTAAGATTCAGTTCTATAGGCTGTCAAAGGCTGAAACAAAATGTCTTATTTTTCAATTTAATTTAGCTTTAGAAATGGATAATAAGTTATATGCGAGATCAAACTATTAGAAAATAATATTATAATAATGGATTAAACTGTTGGAAAATAATATCCTAATAATAGATTAAACAGTTGGAAAATAATATCCTAATAATAGATCAAACTGTTGGAAAATAATATCCTAATAATAGACCAAACTGTTGGAAAATAATATCCTAATAATAGATCAAACTGTTGGAAAATAATATCCTAATAATATATCAAATTGACTATTTGAAGAAATACCTCAACATTCCCAACAATTGTAACCAAAATAGGAATCTATACAATATTTTACAGAACGTTTTTATAGACACACTTAGTACTGAAGTGATTGGCGTGTCTCTACGAATTTTCAGATAGTTTACTGTTGAAATAATAATTATCAACTCGGAGATAATTCAAACAGACTTTTGATGAACTAAACTACTTCATCCTGCCAGCGTATCTTGATTTGGTTCGATTACACTAATCTGCCTATAGAAGCATGATCTTATATATAAGTCATGTTGTTTACTACTTCAGCTACTAGTTCTGACTACTTTCAAAACTACTTAACGTGGTGAGAGAGTAAGTTAGTTTTCGTCAGTTCGTAGGTTCTTTCCCACTATGATCAAATGTATGTTTTTCTCCGCGCCAAAGATCAAGTGGATGTAAAAATATCTACAACTATGAACCATAGAAAGTGGGGAAAGAAAAGCTCTTTCGGAATCAGAATCCTGAATTTTCTTTAAGAGTCCTAGGGAAGTCAACATGAACTACTGATTCGAGCAACCCTCGAAAAAGCATTACGCCCCAGTGACGAATGAAGTGCGGTGTTTTCTCAGTCGTCGTGCATGCATGCCCCTCTTTCTAAGGTCGAGTGTGCAAGTTTTATTTTATTTTTTCTTCTTTTATCTACTGTTACTCCTATGAGAGTGGAATGTCTGGTGATTATCCATGCCAAACTAGCCTTATCAAGCTGAGAAAAAAAGAGCGCGTATATAGTAAGGGTTCGCGTTGGATTCAAAAATTCTCAATAAACAACATCAGTAGACGGTCGGGTTTACACCACATTGATCAATGACTATTCTTGAAGTTTTTCTTCTATCTGTTTATTAGTAATTCATACTAACCCCCAGAAAACGTCTGAACTATATTCAGTTTTCTTAGCTTATTCAACACTAAACGTAAAAAACAACAACACTTATTATTTTATGTTTTAAGAAACTAAGGCATGTCAAAAATTAGAAGTAAAACATTAACATAGAAATGTGATTGTAACTTTTTCATGTTCAACGACTATAAGTCATTGTTCCACATAACTAGAGTCCTTTCTATTGTAATATCTTGTTTCTGACTTTTGACAGAACGACTAAAATTTAGTTTTAATGTTTTCATATACGAAGGTGACACGCGTGTAAATTGTGCTAATATTTTTCTCATAGTGATGGAGGGTTTCAGCAAAGCAGTGGTGCATACAGGGTGTGTGTTTGGTTGGAAGAACTTAAGAATAAATTAGTAACTTCCAAAAGTCATGTTCTTGTCATTATAAAGTCACTTAACTTTTTCTTTTGTAAGACGTTGAATTTACTTTCTAACTAAGCTCAATAAAATCTCATACTTGTGTAAGCTCGACTGGAACAACTAGTTGAAGTAGAAAAAAAATAGCATTTTTCTTACCTGCAAGTAGTAGAAAAGCATGAAAAATGGTCTTTGAAAGTTCCACAGCTCACCTCGCTTACAGTTATTTTGATAAGTTTCGACAAAGTTATAAACAGACTGTAATATTGATGATGTTCTCAAGATTTATTTCGCTGGTTTTCTTCTCGCTGACAAGTTAAATTGCACGTTATGCATAGAACAAATTTTCTGTAATCGAACCTATGGTGCAAGAAGTTTTCACTCCAAACATTATATTTAGGCTATTCTTTCGCCTTGACTAAGAGAAGATCATTTGGCTACGTTAATGTTAACGCACACTGAAGGTATAAAGGATCTGAGTTTCTTAGTTTTCCTGGCTATGGCATTTCTTTAGCTGGCTAGTTTCAAGAAATAACACCTACACAGATAACAACGTAAACTTATAATTTGGCTAAAATACTACGTGAAAATACTCCAAAAAAGTAAACGCAAAAAGTAGCTATTCTGACACGGATGACTGCGGCCTCTAATTCATGTTTTACGTTCCTAACTAGCACACACACACACACACACAAAATGTTCGTGTTCAGCTCTCCAAGGCAAGCAATTCTCAGCACGAGAAAAGCTGGAACTCGTCAATGTACAGCAGGCGTGTCAACTCACGACGATAGGTAGCTGTGCTGTTTCAGTAGAAACGCAACACTGAGCTTTGATGATAACGCCGTGCTTTTGTTAGTTACCTTAACCCTTGTCCACCAGGCTGAGAGAGGGAGACGAGTTTTCCTATAGCTTTGGAAAGAAACAAGAATAACGTACACAACGTCGGGTTTCACACAGTACATGTAAAATATATCAGGAGAAAGCCTTTCTATTTTTTGTTGTAATATCTTTTGAAGAATAGTTTTGAATACAAAATACATTGTAATATATCCGAAATTTAGATTTTTAACACCACAGTAGTGTAGGAAAACCTTGAGACAAAATAAATTCGTGAGGCATGGATATTTTAATATTCTTATCAAGATAACGGTATAAAATTGATTAGTAAAAAATGTGAAACTTATTTTTATATGTATAAATTTTATGTATAACTGAGAAACAAAACATGATATTAGGTTTCAGTTGCTGAATTCTTGTTTTAACGATTTTAACGAGATCAGCATTTTTACACCTTTAAAGTTAACATTACTTTAAAACAAAATAACTCTTGAGAAACTATATAAATAATATTTTAAAACAATTTTCTATCATTGTTAATACCGATTTTCTACTTCTCTTAAATCGAATTTTAGTGGGTTTTTTTTTCGTATATGAATACTTTTTATGTCAACGATTTTTCCAAACTACTGGTAGGCCTTTAACTGGTTTTGTTTGTTTGTTTTGAATTTCGCGCAAAGTTACACGAGGGCTATATGCGTTAGCCGTCCCTAATTTATCAGTGAAAGACTAGAGGGAAGGCAGCTAGTCATCACAACCCACTGTCAACTCTTGAGCTACTCTTTTACCAAGGAATAGTGGGATTGACCGTCACGTTATAACGTCCTCAGATTGCGAGTCGAGTGCCCTAATCACCTGACCATGCCTTCTTTTCATATAGATTATCGTCTATGTAACCAACATAATTGATTCCTACATGAAACTAACCGCTATGTATTATTATTTGTTTGTTTGTAATTAAGTACAAAGCTACACAATGGGCTATCTGTACGCTGCTCACCACGGGTATCGAAACCAGGTTTCTAGCGTTATAAGTCCACAGACATTCCGCTGTGCCACGGGGGGAGGGGCAACCACTATGTACTATTAATAATAACTTCTGAGTGAAAGTAAAAAAAAAAGAGTGTATAATAATATGTCAACCACACTGTATCTACTATAACCAGTACCGAGAAGACATTTCGCCTAATACCACGGTTATCCAGGCCGGCTGAGACACAGCAGTCTAATATATATATATATATATGTGTGTGCGTGTAAGTAAACATTAAAGTACACGATCTGAGAAAAACAATATTTTCATAGGATGTACAATGAAAGAATCCCAACAGAATTATATAAAATTTATACCAGTTCTATACTTCTCTTATAAACAACGTATTAGCATGTATTTCATCAACAAAAAGGTTCTATGAGATAGAAAAGTAAAGATATAAAATACTAAATAGACATTGAAATATTTTGTATTTAATTTACTCTGTGCTTTTTCTAAATATATTTTGGTAAGTATTATATTTACGTTTGGGTGTACTGTGCAAAATTAATCGCAGCATCTTATGACAATACACACGAAAGCATTTATTGTCAATAAAAAATAATAGAAAAATACTCATTGTGTGCATATTTCTTACCCAAGAACAATGTAAAGCATATTCTGAAGAGACATGAAATTGCCAACGTGTTTGCAGATTTATCGATAAACGTTGTTAATATTATTCTTCGGATTACAGTCATGTGTCAATACTCCTTAATAATAGTCAAAAACAAAGGTTGTATAAGAATGTATTGTTGCATATGTCAGTACTCCTTAATAATAGTCAAAAACAAAGGTTGTATAAGAATGTATTGTTGCATATGTCAGTACTCCTTAATAATAGTCAAAAACAAAGGTTGTATAAGAATGTATTGTTGCATATGTCAGTACTCCTTAATAATAGGAAAAAAACAAATATTGTATAAGAATGTATTGTTCCTAAAAGAGGTATAGAAAATAGATGTTATATATAATGTTTCAATGAACACAAAACAATAACGTTTTATAAACAATGCCATACAAACATCGACCTTATCTCTCTGAAAATGAAAAATATATCATAAACCAACACTTTAGACCTTGACTATTTCAAAAGTTATGCCTGAAAAAAGTTGTAATTGAAAGGTCAACTATACAGGGAAGAGAAAGATACAGCGTCAATAATTTAAAATAAAAACGGCTTAATTAAACAAAGATATAGTAACTGTCTGGTCAATAATGCATCGTAATCTTTCTACCGCTTTGTTCTGAAAATATTGAGTTGTTGAAGATTATACTTGTTTTCAATTTCGTAGTGTCTCGTTAATGTTTAACCACTCCTAAGCTACGGGTGTTGATTTCCGTAATTGAAATTCAGGCCACGCCTCAATGTCTTCCCTTTTAGACTTATCAGATATTTTGATGTGTGTTCTTTCGGACACACATGCAATATACACTCATTGCATGGACAGTTAAGGAGTGCATGAGAGGCGAGGTGTTTTAGATACTACTAGCCCAGGACGGGAAACAACAAGAGAGCTTTATCCGTCTCTATAAACATCTAGAAATGTGACGGTCTTTTGTGCTATTGCAAATTAGGCTCATCAGAGCTGAATAGAAGAGCATGGACAGAAGTTTTACTGGAATTGGCTGGCTCTTCAACAGTAGACACAAAAAACAATCCGTAATGATCCTTCCATAGGTTACAATAAAACCTTTTTCTACTTTACTTTCATGTTATAGTACTATAACTGTTAGTAATAGAGAAGGGTTACCTTCTTTCATATTATACACAAAGACAAAGACACAACTTCTTTGATGAGGTATGACCCATTTTATTTTTATTATGCCCTTCACGAGTTTTATTCTTTCCGACTTCGATATTTTTACGATTTTTAGCCCTGTAGAGCTTCTGAATCACTGAATTCTTATATCATTATATTAATCAATACTAGCTTTTTAGATTGTTTAGAGTTTTATTAATTATTGTTGTTCAGTTTTATAGTTTAATAGGTTACTGTTTATTTTTGCATTAAAAAACCTTAAACGGTATTAGTATTGTACTCTTCTATAGAAAAACTATTTCAAATTGGATAACAAGGAAAATATTGTGAATATTGTGTAGGATGATTGAATCTATGATGGATGTTTTAGGCTTTCTTGTGATTTGAGTGCCAACACTTCCAATGAAGATCTTAAGATTCATTTAAAATTCAAAGTGTAAAGACCCAAATAATAGCCTGTACATCTACATTACGATTCAAAATGGAGAGCACAACTTTTGAAAGACTACCCAATGCTAAGTAATACTCCTTTAGATAGAGAAATAGATAAGCTTCCTATCATCAACTACTTCCACTCTCCGAGAAACAGCAGTACGAAGCAAATCTCTCAGTGTGCATGTTATACAAAAATTACAGATCATTTGCTGCATGAAAAATAAATTTATCAGAAAAAGCAAGGGCCAGTGGAAAAACTCTTGAGTAGGTGTGGATTTCGTAAATCTGGTACTAAGCTAAGACTATGCCATCAATCATAGACTGGAGAAGGAGCCATGCTTTTAATCTCATTTGACACTGGGTTATGGTCGTGTTGGGCGAGCACATACTGTTACAGCTGTCAACCGCACCTTTTCTTTGCTGCTAGCATGGGGCTAAAAGTTGGTGAAAATCCCTCTTTGTGAAGATTGCTGAAGTATTTTATTTTCCTTCTCTCTTTGCTCTTGTTTTCGAAAGGTGAAATGCCATCTGTATGTGATCCTTTTCACAAACACCACGTCGTGTTGTACGTTTATCATACATGTAGAAAATCACAATATATAAACAGATTGAAGTTGTCAAGATGAATAACAAGTGTTTGAAGTTCTATGCGTGTTTTTTATTTATACGACTGATCCGTAAACTAAACCTTAGGATTATAAAAAACTGTTATAAAGTGCAGAAGGAATTTACTCATGTGTAAAAGGAAAATAAAATTTACGTTTATTTGATTATCAGCCGCAAAGCAGACTAGTATTCTACGTTAGATAAATAAAGCATGACCTGGTCTATGCTTTGAGCATGTGCACCAAAACTATAGAAATCGAGTATAACATATTTAATACATAATTTAACCTGGATGCAATTGATGAAACATGGTAATAGCCCTTTCAATAATTATGTGTACATTGAAATTCAAGATAACCTGAACATCATCGGTGAAAAAGTGACAGCTTGAGAAAGATCATAAAGAAAAATTCCTTAACTCCACATTTATTGAGGAAATGATCCATAGACATTATAATTAATTTTCTTTTTTGTTGTTTCAGACTTTTCGTGCAAAACTACACAAAGGGTTACCTGAGAATAACTGTCCCTGATTTTAAACTGATACACTAGAGGTAAACCACCCAGTCAACAGTGCTCATCGCCAACTCTTAGGAGATTTAGTGTTTCTCTCATAGCGCACTAACGGCCTCAAGTATGGAGAACACCTTAAATTCACAGCCCAAGTAGGGTAACCAATAGAAACGACCGGGTTGAATTCATTTATTAAAGACAACCACTTTTAGTATGGAAAAGTGGTATAATGACTTCACGAGGTCTTTTTTTTTTTTATATAGGCGCCTCACGAAAATAGTATGCATATGGGCGAGACATTACTTGAAGTTAGGTGTATAACGTTAATAGCCTTTT